TGGCCACGCCTCAATCCCTTCTCCTCCATTCTCCTCTCGGGATCTTGGGCACACACACACACGCACCCGGCGTGAGTTTTAAGCCACCGGGTCCGGGACATGAACCGCGGTCGACTACATGGGAGTCCAGCGACATAGCCATTACGCTAACTGCTGGTCCCCGAAAATAATTATTTTTTTAAAAATAAAAAATAAATCTTAATAATGGGCCAAACTCCCCCTCCCCCATCATGTCATATGGGGCTTGGGCTTTTTCCATTTCAGGAGGACCTGTGGAATTTTATAAATGAGACCCTGAACAGCAATAGCAATGATAAAAATCCCCACTAATCCCCAGAATCAGACGGTGCTGACCTTATTGAGTTTGTCAGGCGTGGCCGCAACATGTAATTCAAAGAGAAGCTCTGTAAGCATGCTAGCAAATTCCTCTCCCTTTTCTTCGAAGCCTGGAAATGGAACATGACAGAGGTAAGAAGCGTGATTTATTTTTCATCCTGTCCAAAGTGGCAGCTCCCTGCACCTGTGCGCCTGCGGGACAGCAGACTACGGGGAGGCCATGGCAGCCTGCCCTCCCGCCACTGGGCAAAGACGCATGTCGGCCATCATGGACAGGCAGGGAGACAGCAGGTGCGACCAGGGACGGACTGCTGCAGCCTGGCTGCGGGTTCCTGAGCTGGGACACCCCCAGGCTGGCCTGAAGGCCACAGAGGGCAGGGAGGGCCCTTGTCTGTCTTGTTCACAACTACAGGTGTGTGTATGTTGAAAGAAGGATTGGAGTGAATGGCCTTGCTGAGGCCTGAGGGACCTGGGCCATGGCACATTTATGACGTAGACTATGCCATGAAGCACTGCAACCCTAATGGTGCCCCAGGTGCCCTAGTCCACAGAGCCACGGCGCTGGGCGAGCAGAGTCAGTCTCCACGGCTCATGCGCCACCTGATGCAAAACGTGGTCCCTCTAGAGAAACTCCTCGAGGTTTCCCAGGATACCTATCTGGCTGTACAGTGTTTCCTAATGATCTGTCTTCCCTGCAGATCAGAAACTGCCTAAGGACAGAGTCAGTATTTCCCCTGCTCTCTCCTGAATCCAGAGCGTCTAACACAGTACCTGGAACATGATGGCTGCTACACTGGATATTTACGGAATAGACACTTATTGATAAATTACATACGAGGGGACTTCAATAAGTCCATGGAAAATGGAATGCAAGTATGAGCTTATAACTCTATCTATAGATATATTTTACATTTGCCAGAGGGTATGTGCACTCACCAGAGAGAGAGACAGAGACAAAGAGGGAGAAACACCTCGCAATGGGGTATGGTCATGCTGAAATCCCGTCTCTGTTTCTTCATCCCATTAGGATTTGGAGCACATATGCACACACACTGGCATGGTTTTCAAGCTGCTGGGGCCAGGATTCAAATGGTGGTTGGCCATGTGGGATGTAACCACCAGGCCATGAGGCTGGCCATATGAGTTTATTTTAGTGTAAAAAAATTTTTTTTTAATTCATGCATCATTCTCCTAATATATACTTTCCATGAACAGTTTTAAGACTCTCCTCATAGAATATGATATATTAATTATATATCATATAACATGTTGTACATAATATATTCATGTGTCATATAAAATAAATGAATTAATATCATCGGTGGGCAATAGAGACATAGGGGACCAGCAGATGGCATAACAGTTACGTCGTTGGACTCCCATGTAGCCGACCATGGTTCAAGTCCTGGACCTGGTGGTTTAAACTCATGCCAGGTATGTGTGCATGCGTGCCCAAGATCCTGAGAGGAGAATGGAGGAGAAGGGACTGTGGCATGGCCATTCCCTGGGGGCTGATTTCTCACTTTCTGTTTCTTTGGCGAGGGCACATGCCCTATAGCGAAAATCTCCCTCTCTACAATCTTCTATCTTTCATTTGTATCTATGAGGCTATGAAATTTTTAAAGTTCCTGAAAAGTGGAAAAGAAGTGATCCCACAATGGGTTTACTACTGGTTAGGGTAAGAATAAAAGCGTCACTGATCTGGCCTGATTACATGATCTCAAACTCTCTGAGGAAAACACCACCACTGTCCCTTACGTTGGTGGGGAAAGCAGGACCTTCATAGAGGACGAAGTGTGAGAACCAGCCTATCGAACAGCTGCCCAGATGTACCGCTTTCTGTTTTACAGACAAAACGGTCAGTCAGCAGCTCACAGAGACAGCCAGGGTAGCTTACAGATCTTTGTTCAAAACATTGGCTTAGGGACCAGCAGTTGGTGTAATGGCTATGTCGCTGGACTTCCATGTAGTTAACCGTGGTTCCAGTCCTGGATCTGGTGGCTTAAACTCACGCCAGGCGCATGTGCGTGCATGCCCAAGATCCCAAGAGGAGAATGGAGAAGAAGGGATTGCGGTGTGGCCATCCCCTCTGGGGGGTGATTTCTTGCTTTCTGTCTCTCTGTCTTTCTGGCAACTGCACGAGCCCTAAAGCAAAAACCTCTCAAAAAAAATTGGCTTTAATTCAGATATTCTCATAAGACAGATTAATAAGCAAAATAGATAAGTAAAACGTAAGTGTCAAGTGATAAATTTTATAGAGAAGTATAAAGTAAGGAAGATAAATTGGGGCACTGGGGTTTAGGAATCTTACATAAGAGGTGCTATCGTTTCAATGTCTGTGTCCTCCTGAAATTCACGTGTGGAAACCTCATCACCCAGGTGATGGTAGTAAGAGGTCAGCCTTTGGGGAATGACTAGGTCATGAGGGTGGAGCCCTGGTGAGGGGATTGATGCCCTTTAAAGAAGTCCTGGAGAGTAGCCTGGACCATTCACCATGTGAGGGAGGTAGGAGGAACCACCTATGAACCAGAGAATGGAAGTCCTCACTAAGCACTGAATCTGCAGGTGCCTCCACCTTGGACTTCCCAACCTCCAGAACCGTAAGGACTAACTGCGTGTTGTTCATAAAGCCGTCCAGTCTATGGTATTTTGTTAGAGCTAATCACCCGGTCTAGGATAAAGGGGAAAAATGAGAAGGTGCCTGCTGAGGAATGACCTGAGAAGGACACCAATGAACCCCAAGATAGATGGAGGGGGAGAGCCTTTCTGCCATGGTGTGGTAAGAGCAAAGTCCTGCAGGGAGGGCCTGGCATGTTCAGGGACAGCGAGGTCGGTATATCTACAGCAGAGCCAGAGAGACATGTGCCCTGGGTGTCGGGTGAGAAACGACTCAGGCCAGGACGAAGCTGCAGCCATAGGCAACTCACTTTCACCCCAGAAGGTGAATGTTCTGAGGGGGTTTTTGCAGCTCTTAATCCAATTCTCAGAAGAATATTAAGAAGCCTTCCTGGGCCAGCAAGTTGCACGGTGGTTAAGGTGCTGGATCCCACTCAAACTCCAAAATTCGAGTCTCAGACCCAAGGCTTGAAAATCATGCCGGGCACGTGTGTGTGTGTGTGTCCAAAATGCCGAGAAGAGAATGGAGGAGAAGGGATTGCAGTGTGGCCATCCTCTGTGGGGGCAATTTCTTTCCTTCCCTCTCTCTGTCTCTCTCTAGCCTGTGACAAAACAACAACAAAACAAAACAAAACAACTTCCTGAAGGAGGTAATGCCTGAACAGGGTCTTCAAGAATCAGAATGCCTTAACTGCAGCAAGGGAGAGCTGGGAGGCTAGACAGGCAGAGAGGGACTGGGTTCGAGTCCTGGACCCAGTGGCTTAAAACTCATGCTGAGTACATGTGAGTGCATGCCCAAGATCCCGAGAGGAGAGTGGAGGAGAAGGAATTGTGGGGTGGCCAGCCCCCCTGGGGGTAATTTCTCACTTTCTGGTTTTCTGTCTCTCTCTCTCCGTCAAGTACACACACCCTATACCAAACTGTCTCTCGCTAAAAAAAAAAAAAAAAATGGGGGGGAAGGAATCAACATTAAATCAGGACAAAAATACTCTGGGTTCTTGCAGTTTACACACGCGAATTTGTTCTACAAAACGTACACCAATAACTTCCGGCAAATATTTTAAGGAAAAAAATCACAGAGAAAAATGACAGTAGCTAAAAACAGATGATAATACAATACAACAAAGGAAATCTATTACCCTGACTTTTGTTTTGTGCACATGGCCAAGATAATCTTCACCATGGTAATAAAAATAGAAAATGGCCTTTTAAAAATCTCTTCACAGCTGTGGTAAACCAAATTAGAGACCCATGGTAGAATGATAAAAGGACTCTCAGCCGAAAAGACAAACATACAAATCATTAGCTAACATTATTAAATGCGGAGGAGCTTGATATTAAATTTATCTAAAAATGACAGTTTATTACATTTTCTGAGACTGCCAAATACATTATTCAGGTGTTAGGAGGCTTTCAGGGATATAAATGCTTACGAGAAAAAAACATCTGATGACAATGCTCTGCTTTCTTGCAGAATTTTGCCCTTGGATCTTGTGTTCACCTCCACTGATACGATTCCTCGCTGTGGCTTTAGGTCGCTCCCTCAGCCTGTCTGGAGTTGTAACACTCCATCATAATTGGACCGACTCAATGACAATGCCTGTTTCCTCCCAGTTCTTCATTAAGCACTTAAATGACATTTATTTACTAAATTAAGTTAATTAAAATTAATAGTGTTTTGATAGTCTGGAGATATCCTTTGGGAAAATGGGTATGTGACAGGAGACCCCGGGGTTTTGTCACTTAAGGAGAGATAAATAGACTACTTCTCAGCGCGTGCCGTTCAGCATTTCAATGTGTTGTAAGTGCACGTCATACTCGCAAGTTCAATGTGCTCAAGTTCTATGCTCAGACTAGCACGGATCACCTGGAGGGACCAATCAAATCAAGATTCTCCTCCAAGGTCTGGCACCAATGGGTGACTTAGTACTGCTTTAACTTTCATTGGTAACAATATCACTTCGATGCTGGTAGGAATTTGGGGTCCTCTCTTTATTCTTTTGGCATGGTACCCCCAATGGGGCCAAGGTCTCCCTCAGACATATGAAACTTGGCGAGAAAGACCCTGGTCCTCTCTGGTGATCATCACTCTGGAAGAGAGGCATCTGTTACTTCATCTTGGGTCCACAGTCCACACTGCCTGAGCTAAGCCAGCTGGTGTTACAGTTTCTTCGAAGACTAAGACAGGCCCTCCCCTTTGTGACTTCTGTAGACGTACACGAATGCTCAAAAACATTATTCCTCAACTGCTTCTTTGCTGTTGACCTCATTCTGTGCTTCGGTATAATTGATTCTTTTATTTGATGCAATGAGCATAAATCTCATTAAGCCAAGGCACATAAGGTCAGTACTTGGGGCTGAAGAGGGAAATGGGGTTTAATGACAGTTTCTGAAAGCTTAGAATAATTTTGCCCTGAGCATGGAAGCCTAAGTATTAGAGTTCTTGTGTTCACATTTTAATTAAAAGCATGTTGCACTTCACCTGGGCACGAAACCCTTCAGCGACTTGATGGTACGAACATACTTAATGGTCACTCAGTAACGACAAATATCTTAATAAATAAGAGCTGCAATTTATTGTATCTTTGCTATTTTTATGGCATTATGTTAGCACTTTAAATAATAATGATTTTAAAATATATATATATATTTTTAATTACCAGAGAGTGTGTGCACTCACCAGAGAGATGGAGAAAGCACCACCCGATGGGGTTTGGCCATACCACAATCCCTTCTTATCCACTTCTCCCCCGTCATGATTTTGACAAGGATGCACACATGCCTGGCTTGTTTTTCAAACCCTGGGGCTAGGATTTGAACTTAAGTTGGCCATGTGTGATCTGGCTGCCTTAACCAATAGGCCATAGGACCAGCCCACAGTTCATGTTTTTAAGCAGCTCTGTGTACCAGGTTCTCTAATACACGTTTTTCCATGTGTTATCAAACTGGATCCTTTCCACAGCCATTGGGAACGTGGATTGTTGTCTGCATCTTACAGGTGAAGACACTGAGTTTCAGAAAGGTTATGTAACAGCATTCAAAGCCACACAGCAAGAAAGTGGTCAAAATGTCTTAAATGGGAACGTTACGGTTGGTCTGGGAAGAAGCCAGCCTTGTGCCTGTGGTTGCTGGAACTTCAACATAAACTATACCAAACAGCTGTGTGTGTGTGTGTGTGTGTGTGTGTGACTCTGGAAGAGAGGCATCTGTTACTTCATCTTGGGTCCACAGTCCACACTGCCTGAGCTAAGCCAGCTGGTGTTACAGTTTCTTCGAAGACTAAGACAGGCCCTCCCCTTTGTGACTTCTGTAGACGTACACGAATGCTCAAAAACATTATTCCTCAACTGCTTCTTTGCTGTTGACCTCATTCTGTGCTTCGGTATAATTGATTCTTTTATTTGATGCAATGAGCATAAATCTCATTAAGCCAAGGCACATAAGGTCAGTACTTGGGGCTGAAGAGGGAAATGGGGTTTAATGACAGTTTCTGAAAGCTTAGAATAATTTTGCCCTGAGCATGGAAGCCTAAGTATTAGAGTTCTTGTGTTCACATTTTAATTAAAAGCATGTTGCACTTCACCTGGGCACGAAACCCTTCAGCGACTTGATGGTACGAACATACTTAATGGTCACTCAGTAACGACAAATATCTTAATAAATAAGAGCTGCAATTTATTGTATCTTTGCTATTTTTATGGCATTATGTTAGCACTTTAAATAATAATGATTTTAAAATATATATATATATTTTTAATTACCAGAGAGTGTGTGCACTCACCAGAGAGATGGAGAAAGCACCACCCGATGGGGTTTGGCCATACCACAATCCCTTCTTATCCACTTCTCCCCCGTCATGATTTTGACAAGGATGCACACATGCCTGGCTTGTTTTTCAAACCCTGGGGCTAGGATTTGAACTTAAGTTGGCCATGTGTGATCTGGCTGCCTTAACCAATAGGCCATAGGACCAGCCCACAGTTCATGTTTTTAAGCAGCTCTGTGTACCAGGTTCTCTAATACACGTTTTTCCATGTGTTATCAAACTGGATCCTTTCCACAGCCATTGGGAACGTGGATTGTTGTCTGCATCTTACAGGTGAAGACACTGAGTTTCAGAAAGGTTATGTAACAGCATTCAAAGCCACACAGCAAGAAAGTGGTCAAAATGTCTTAAATGGGAACGTTACGGTTGGTCTGGGAAGAAGCCAGCCTTGTGCCTGTGGTTGCTGGAACTTCAACATAAACTATACCAAACAGCTGTGTGTGTGTGTGTGTGTGTGTGTGTGGTGCTTGGTTATGACATGGCGAAGAAATCACTCTACATGCACGTAGCAATTGTTTGAGTCCCAAACGCACAACCTAAAGTAACCATTAAGCGTGCTCAGCTCAGAATACTTTTTCCTCTTCAAGAAGCTTTGCTTCTCATCAAATAGGTTCTCGTCTCCTCGAGGCCAAGTATTATCTGCTGAGAGGAGTACCAGGAGGTGGGAACCTGAGTCCCTCTGGGGACCGCTAAACCCACACATCACGCCCTGGTGCACTGCAGGAAAACAACCCAGCCCTGACCCAGTCAGAAGCACACTGTAAGTGGAGCACAGGGCACTTAGAAATACGTCTTCGCTCTTATACCCAAATACATTAAAAGAAGAAAAATATGCAAAAAATCTATTGAAAGACCTCCTTGCTGTCAACATTAATCGCATGAAGCACCTTCCACAAGCAGATCAACATGAAAGCTGGAGGTCTAGAGTCCTACTGGGTGCGTTGTGCGTCTGTTCATTCAACCGCGTGCTTTGTCTGCCTGCTGTGAGGTGCAGGGATTGCGCTGGACACCAGACAAAGGGCAGGAGCGCCTGCCCAGACGAAGAGGATCACAAATCTACATGACTGTCTCCTAACAGTGCACACACACGGTTTGGGGGAGCGTGGAGGAGGGGCACTGAAACAACGTCACTCTCTTCAAAGGACTGTGTGTGTCAACAATGGTTATAAGACGGACCAGCAGTTAGCGTAATGTGGCTGGACTCCCACATAGTCGACCACAGTTCGAATCTCAGACCCGGTGGCTTAAACTCACGCTGGGTGCATGTGCGTGCGTGCCCAAGATCCTGAGAGGAGAATGGAGGAGAAGGGATTGCGGCGTGGCCATCCTCCCGGGAGGTGATTTCTCACTTTCTGTCTCTCTGTCTCTCCCTGTCTTTCTGGTGAGTGTACGTGCTCTATAGCTAAAACCTCTCAAAAAAAAAAAAATAAAAAAAAGAAAAAAAGAAAAATAAAAAACAGTGGTTTATAAGAAGTAGGTTAATACGTGTGTTGCTATTTAACTCGTTATTTCCCTGTACCTGGTTCTTCTTGGTTCTCTTCGTTCTCTAATTCTTTGGCTGCGAAGACGTCTTTAATGGAAATTAGGTCACTTTTTAAGAGTTCCAGCTTCTCTCCATCAAGTGATGCTAAAAAGGACTGAACCTGCAAGGAAAAAATAGGTCAGCATAACTGTCATCTTTTCCTCTCTTTAATAACATTTATGTCCCGCCGCCCCCAGTTTTCTAGGACCGAAGTGATTCGGTGTAAGTAACACGGAGCAGAATGTCAGCCTTGCCGCCGATGAACTCTGGGACTTCTGGGAAGTTACATAAGCTCCCTGGGCTTCAGTTTTCTTTTGTTCTTTCTTTTTTTTTTTTTTTTAAGAATTATTTAATTCTACTTTTTATTACTATTACTATTATTATTATTATTATTTAATTTTGATCAGACAGAGAGGGACCAGACAGAAAGGGTAAGTGAGAAAGGGAGCTGCCAGGTCCAGGACTGGAGAGGGACCAGACAGAAAAGGTAAGTGAGAAAGGAAGCTGCCAGGTCCAGGACTCAAACTGTAGTTGGCCATGTGAGGATCCAGTGCCCTTAACCACCACGCCACTCACCAGCCCCGGTTCCTCAGTTTTTAGAGTGAGATCCGTACTTCCTTGTGATCTTTTTTTAGCAGGAAATGAGATAGAAAATATCAAGTGCACTTTGTACACAGCAGATGCTAAGTAAGTGGTAGGTGGGCAGCTCTTCCACCACGCTCCTCAAGAACACACTAGAGTAGGGGCAGCAGATGGCTCAGAGGTTACGTAGCCGGACTCCCACATGGTCAGCCGTGGCTCAAGTCCTGGTGGCTTGAAAATATCACTGGGCACACATGCGTGCGTGCCCAAGATCCCAGGAGGAGAATGGAGGAGAAGGGATTGTGGCATGGCCATTCCCCCCTAGGGGGAGCAATTTCTCATATTCCCTCTCACTGTCTCTGTCTCTTTCTCTGGCGAGTGCACATACTCCTCTCTGCTCACTGTCATCAAAACCTCTCTTTTGAAGGCAAGAACTTATAAACACTCTCTCTCTCTCTCTGGGGGCCAGACAATGTCACTGCAGTCAAATGTGACACCCTACAAGGCTGACTCATGTGGGAAAGTTCCAGGTTCGTGTCCAGAGACCTCCCTGATGATGCTGAGCATGCATACCCCACGATCCAGGGCTGACTGGGACTGGAGTGGATCGTGCCATCGGGGTAGGGGGTGTTTCTCTGTCTCTTTAACTCATGGAATAAATAAATACATAGATCAACTTAAAACACAAACACAACTCAGTTCCAATATTGGGTTCAAATGTCAGCTCCTTATTTACTAATGTGTGACCTTGGGTAATTCATGTCGCCTCTTTCCTTGTCTTGCATCCACCTCAGAGGGTTTGTGAGGGTTAAATGAAATAGTGAACTTAAAGTCCTTACAGTGATGGTTAGGAGATTACACATATAGGCAGGTACACATAAAACATGCTTTATACGGTCAGATAAATTCCTATCTGCATTTGTTAGATGTGGATGATTGCATCCGAGCTACAAAATTGCACAGGACATCTTTTTATGCATTGTAAAAATGACTTTGGGGGCCAGCCCAGTGGCATAGTAAAGGGAGCCAGAGCCCACACGGGCAATTGTGGTTTGAATTCTGGTCCCAGTAGCATGAAAAAACCCATCAGGTACGTGTGTGTGTGTGTGTGTGTGTGTGTGTGTTTGTGTGTCCCCCAAATCCTGACGGGAAGAGAGGAAGGGAGGAAGTGAGGAAGGGAGAAAGGACTGCAATGACCACACCCCTTCGGGAGGTGCCTTCTCTCTCTTCCTCTCTCTCTCTCTCTCTCTCTCTCTGTCTCTGTCTCTCTCCGGTAAGCGTTATGTGTCTTCTGGCAAAATTTTAAAACCGACAAACTATTTTTGAATCAATATGTGTATGGTATACAGTGTGCATAAGTATAATATGTTAGGATCAAATCAAGACAGCTTGCATGTCCACCACCTCGAATATCTGCCATTCCTTTGTGCTGGAATATTTAGAAGCCTCTCTTCTAGCTACCTTGAAATGTAGATTACCGTTAACCACAGTCACCCTCCTGTGCTACAGAGCGTATTCCTCCTGTTTAACTGTAATTGTGTGGGCATTCACCAACATGCCCCCCAGCCATCCCTGCCCCTGGTAACCACTATTCTTTTTAACATGCTCCTTCCATGAGGCCAGTTTTTAAAGCGTCCACAATATGAATGAAAACATTCAGTATTCCTCCTTCTCCGTCTGATTGGTTACACTTAACATAATGTCCTTTAGCCTCATTCACATTGTCTTGAATGACAGGCTTTCGTTCTTTTTAGTGGCTGAACAGAACTCCATTGTATGCGAGTGCGCATGTGAGTGCGTGTGTGTGTGTGTGTGTGTGTGTGTGTGTGTGTGTGTGTACATCGTGTTCTCTTTATCCACAGACAGTATCTTGGCCGACTGACTCAGGGTCTTGGCTACCTGGTTGGTATCTTGGCTACTGACGAGGGCCGCAGTAAACGCGGGAGTGCAAATACTGCCGAGGCATCCTGGTTTCTTTCCTTTGGGTCTATGCCTGGTAGTGGAATTGCTGGATCATCTGGTAGCTCTGTTTTTAGTTTTCTGAGGAACCTCCATACTGTTTCCCATAATGGCTGTACTAATTTAAAACATTTTTAAAAATAGTTTTTCTTTTTAAGAATTATTTTAACTTTATTTATGTATTTTGACCAGAGAGGGACACAGAGAGGGAGAGAGAGAGACTGAGAGAGAGAGAGAGAGAAAGTGAGAAAGCAAGCTGCCAGGTCCGAGACTTGAAGAGTGGTCGGCCATGTGGGAGTCGAGAGCCCTTTTAACCACCACGCCACATGCCGGTCCTGGCTGGACTAATTTATACTCCAACAGTCACAAGACACATTTACACTCCAATAGCCATAAGACGTATTTTCCTTCTCTGAGATCTTGCGGTCTAGATTAGAGAGGCCCATGTCAACCAATCAAAGCCATGACAGAGGAGAGTGGAGAGTCAGGGGGTGGAGGGGACAGGGACTGTTACTCCCCTAGAGAGGCCAGAGGATGTGCAGGGAAAACTTCACAGTCCAAGATGACCCTTGGGCTGATGTCGCCTCTGCTCGCTGTCGTCAAAACCCCTTTTGAAACTGTCCTCTGTACACACAAACATGATTCGTAGAGATGGCCAGTCAACCTCGGAAGATTAACTTGAGTTTCCAATATGGTCAAAGGGCACGGCCCAAAAATGAAGTGAAGAATGGCCAGTCGTGGCATGGCGCTTAAGGTGTGGCTGGATCCCACGTGGCTGACCAAAAGATCTGAGTCCTGGCCCCGTGGCTTGAAAACCCCATTGGGTGCGTGTGTGTGCATGCCTGAAATCTCGAAAGCCAAGATGGAGGAGAAGGGATTGCGGCGTGACCATCCCCCCCAGGGGTGCTTTCTCACTTTCTCTTTCTCTCTCTGTCTCTCTTTGGCAAGCACACACACCCTCAAGCAAATTAAAAAATACATAACTAATAAAAGAACAAGTGAAGTATGAGCATAAAGTTGGAAAGTTTTTATGTTTTCCTTCTGTAGGTCAAATACTTGCTCTAGAGGGAAAGCCAGGGAGGAGCACATCCTCCTTGGAAAATGTTTAATAATCATTCTGGAGTGAATTAGCACATCAGGGTCAGGGAGAGGGCTAGAGAGGGCACGCAGGTGGCCAGAACATCGTTTTTCTAAAAGTCAGTAATGCACGTCACCAGGGCATAAGGCAGCGGTTGCTCGGGCTCCAGGAGGAAGCTTGGCAGGAGGCAGCAACTCCGAACCCATTAGCAAATGCACACCGCCCCCTGCAATGGCTGCCAGCAACTCCTTTTTGCCCTGACCTTCTTAAACCTTTCCTTAAAAAGTTTCTTTCTTTCCTGAGAGTGAGGAGAGAAAGACAAGCACCCTCAAGAGGGTCTCACGCTGAGCCCCCTCCCAGCCTTCCCAGCCAGCCAGCATCAAGGGGGTGTCAGAGTTGACTGGGGAACCAAACCTGTGATCTTTCACACAGGTCCAACCTGCTTCAGCTGCATGTGACCGCTGCACCACTGAGCTGACCCTGCCTGACCTTTCCAGAATCTTCCTAGTCTCAAGGTCCCACATATGCGCACATTATATTTCCACACTTTGGACGTATTTTTCTTTTCCTTCCTTCCTTCCTTTTTTCTCTTTCTTTTTCCCCTTCCTTCCTTCCTTCCTTCCTTCCTTCCTTCCTTCCTTCCTTCCTTTCTTTCTTCCTTTCTTTCTTTCTTTCTTCTTTCATTCTTTCTTTACTTCCCTCTTTCCTTTTGCTTTCTCTCTCTCCCTTCCTCCCCCTTTCCTCTTCCCTCCCTCCTTCCTTTTTAAAGATTACTTCCTTCTTTCCTTTTCCTTTCTCTCTCTCCCTTCCTCCCCCTTCCCTCTTCCCTCCCTCCTTCCTTTTTAAAGATTTTTTGCCGTGGGGTGGGTGTGCTTGCTAGAGACAAAGAGAGAGGAAAAGTGAGAAATCACCCCTCAGCGTGACTGGCCACATCACAGTCCCTCTTCTTTCACTCTTGAGACTTTGGGCACCCATGCCCACGTGCCCAGCATGATTCTCAGGTCGCTAGGTCTGGGTCTCGAACCACAGAGTCGATCCTGTGAGACTCAGCACCTTAAACATCGTATGGCCTGCTGGCCCCAGATAAGTTGTCTCAACAGCAGTTCCCTAACAGTTAAAAAAAAGGTAACTACTGAATAAATATATTTGAATATAATGCTTAGTGAAGTGTATGCAGACGTGTAGAAGAGTTTAGTTTCCCCGCGCCATCTGGTCAACTGCAATCCTCCGGAGGGGATGCACTGGGGTGTTATGTTTTTGACATCGTTTGGGAAAGGTTCTTTTTAGCAAAGGACTCTTCAGTCAGCAACCTTCTGTAACATTCCTTTCACTTCCTCCTAGTTCATTTCATTATGCAAAGGAACGGTGCATTGCATCTTAGTTCAGTCCAATACTAAATAATTAATATGCATGCACTCCTCGGTCAATGTTTATGGAATGCTGACTATATATTTGATTGGTGCTATGCTGAGTAGTGAGTACGTCCAGACAGACCGTCTGTTTCATCCATCTTTTCCTTGAAAGGTGGCATTGGGTGCCATTTTTTTTTGGAGAGATTTTCACTGTAGGGCGCGTGCACTCGCCAGACAGAGAGAGACATAGAGACAGAAAGCGAGAAATCACCCCCCGGGGGGGATGGTCACGCCGCAATCCCTTCTCCTCCATTCTCCTCTCGGGATCTTGGGCACGCATGCACACGTGCCCGGCGTGAGTTTTAAGCCACCGGGTCCGGGACACGAACCATGGTCGACTACGTGGGAGTTCAGTGACATAGCCATTACGCTAACTGCTGGTTCCCGCGCTGGGTGCCATTTTGAAGATCTCTGTCTAATACCCTTAAGATGGCAATAGCTTTTCTTTCACATTTATTGAACATGGCATTGCCATGCCTGCCGCCGTTCTAGAATCCATCTAGAAGAAGAGTAATGATGGTAATTACCTTTATGATCATGTCTGAGTTTCAGCCAGTGGACAGTCAATAGGGATGATGGGTGTCATTTCTGGGCCAAGGATTCCAAAACATGGGAGCGTCCTCTCTACATTCTCTCTTCTTTTGCTGAAGCAATTCAGCAGATACTAAGTCCAATGGCGATACCTACTATGGCTTCTAGACTTGGACACAGGGGCATTGAGAGGACCCAAGGATGTGTCCACCAGAATCCATACTACCTTGTCTAGAGTGCTCTCTAAGTTACTGAAGGTTGCCTTCCACAGCCCGTGGGGCCTCCTTCCAGTGAACCACATCATTGGCATGTGCACCCCTAGGCCTGAGGGATATCCAAGAAGCAGGGGTGTGGGTGGAGCTTAAGGAGGTCATCCACACATGAGTACACACAACTCCCTGTGGTGAAAGGCAGAGCTGGAGATAAGAGGAGGGTGCAGGCTGGAAGGTGGTATAAAAATTAGGAGTTTAAGAGTTCTAAATGGGAGCCTGGTTTTTCTTTCAGGTCACTGTGAAAATACATGTGTCAATATAGGAGGGCAAATAGATTTTCTTCAACAGTTTGTTTCAAAAGTTCCTTAACTTAGAAATATTTGCAGGGCTTGCAGACGGCATGGTGGTTAAGGTGCTGGATTCCCACATGGCTGACCATGGTTTGGGCCATGGACCCAGGGCCTGAAAATCATGCTGGGTGCTTGTGTGTGCATGCCCAAAATCCCAAGAGAAGAACAGGGGAGAAGGTATTGTGGTGTGGTCATCCCTTCTAAGGGGGTGATTTCTCACTTTCTCTCTGTCTCTGTCGAGTGCACAAGCCCTGTGTCAAAAATGTAAAAAAAAAAAAAAAAAAAAAAAGAGAGAGAGAGAGAGAGAGAGAAAGAAAAAGAAATATTTGCTATGTGTAAAGTTACCAGGTAAAATACAAGGAATCTTTTTAAAAAATGCATGGAAAATGTGTGCATGGATTTCATTTTCTTTTGCACCAAAATAAACTTGTACTTAAAATTTTCATGAACTTTTTGAAGTCCCTTGTATAGCATGCTTAGCTACACTTAAATCTCCAATGCCTCTTTTCTTAGTCTAAGTGTGTTAGACGAATTGTGTTCCTTTGCACGGAGCATGTTTATATTAAAAAGGTATATCTAAAATTAAAATTTAATCAGTCAACCCTGTATTATTTTTATTTAATGTTCTTCTCTTTTTCTTTTTGTTATTACCCTGCATTATTAAAAAAATAAAACAAAACAAAAAAGCTTCTAAAGACAGGGTCCTGCCACATTTGGGATCCTCTGGCTTCAGCCTCCCCGAGTTGCTGGCCAGAGGTGAATAGCCTGGTCCCCTTAGGTTGGGATCGAACCCAGGCCTCCCATGTGGTCCCAGCCTGCAGAGCTCAGTATCTTAGCAGCACACACCCACACGACTGGGCCACGATGTGCAGGCCAGCCTCAGGCCCATGATCCCTCTGCCTTTGCTTCTCCACGCTGGGACTATAGGTCCATGGACTGTGCTCAATCTTTAGGACAGACCTGTAATTGAACCTGGGCCTCCCATGCGGTTACAACCTGTGGAGGTCAGAGTCTCAGTGGCATGCCGCCAGGCCTGGCCAGTCAGCCTGTAATTTAATTGCTCGATCTGGCAACTTCAGTATGGTGTCCCTTTGTGTATCTTTGGATTTTCCTTTGAACTGGTTAGAACATCCTCCTAGTTCCTGCATATGGTTAATGAGTTAACTTCATTCTTTTATTTTTTTTTTTTAAAGAGAGATTTTTGCTGTAGGTTAGGTTGCCCAGGTTTCTCTCGAGAGCTTCCCACTTGGAAATTGAACCCTCTGTAGGTAGGATGAACCTACCTGTAGCCCAGGCATTCTAACCACACAGCCCGGGATAACTATACAACCCAGAAGACATGCACCCAACCCTGCCGTCCAAAGGAAGCACCATCTGTCTTGTGAGCTGTTTGGAATGCGGGCTGGCAGAGGGCCACCCTGACCTGGTGCTTTGTCACCAACAAGAGGTCGAGGACAGCGCCTGGCAGCTGATTCATTTCCGAGCAGCCTTCTACACCACGAGCCTGATTCATGGTGACCCTCACTGTGCCTGCCCTCCGGAGGCTGGAGTTTGGCCCAGGACAGAGAAGAATGATACGGAGATTCAGGGGTCACTGGGCTATGCAATATGCACAATCTTAAAACAATACTGAGGCCCGATTTTCCTGTTTCTTTCACAGTTAAAAAGACACGTTATGAACCGGCAGGTGGCGCAGTGGTTAAGAGTGCTGGACTCCCCCATGGCTGACGGCGGTTTGAGTCCCGGATATCTCTCTCTCTCTCATTCTGTCCCTCTCTGGTCAAATGAAAATAAATAAGTAAAGTTAAGTAAAATCATTCTAAAAAGAAGAGAAGAAGACACGTCATTAAACACATGGCTGCAAGTGGCCGGTGCAGACAGACCTTGCGCTCGCTCTCATTGGACAGGATCTCCAGGGCCTCCAGGTGCGACAGGCCTTGGTACTCGTCGAACAGCAGCCCGTAGTGTGCGGTTCTCTCGGCTGACAGCTGCTGCGCCAGCCTCTGCTTCTCCTTCTCCTTGGCCTCCCTCAGCATCTGCAGAAACACCCGGCATTAGCCTCGTGTCCTGAACACGACCTGGGCAGACAACTGGCTTTGTATTTGAGAAGAGAAGATCTGGGCCACTTCGGAGTTTCTAGAAAATGGTATTATTATTGTTTTTTTTTTTGAGAGATTTTTGCTATAGGGCGCATGCGCTAGCCCAGAAAGGCAGAGAGAGACAGAGAGAGATAGAAAGCGAGAAATCACCTCTTGGGGGATGGCCACGCCGCCATCCCTTCTCCTCCATTCTCCTCTCGGGATCTTGGGCACGCATGCACAGGCACCTGGCGTGAGTTTCAAGTCACCAGGTTTGGGACTCAAACCATTGTCGGCCACGTGGGAGTCCAGTGATGTAACCATTACTCCATCTGCTGGTCCCCGAACTTTGATGTTTTAAAAATTAATTTGATTTGTGACCAGCAGATGATGTAATGATTACATCACTGGACGCCCATGGAGTTGACTGCAGTTTGAGTCTCAGACTGGATGACTTAAAACTCTCCCCAGGCTCATTCAAATCCTGACAAGATGGGGAAATGGAGGAGAAATTGTGGCATTACCATGCTCCAATGGGGATGCTTTCTCCCTTTCTCTCTCTCTCTCTCTCGCTCTCTGTCTAGCAAGTACACATCTCCTCTGGCAAATAAAAACAAAATGATCATAGATAAAGCAATGTACAAAAGAGTGTGATGCGTGTGCTACCATTTGGCTGAAAAAAGTTATGTATGTCTACATGCCTCTGTATCTATGTGTCCATACGTATTTACACAGTTATTATGTATACATACAGACACATCTATACCTGTATTTATGTAATATACCCGATAGAATCCATAAGAAACTGGTAACAGTCATGGTCTCCCATGAGATATTAAGTGGCTGGAGAAAGGGAATGCATTAGATACTCAGTTTCCAATCTACCCGACTCGTTTGTGGCATTGAATCTGAATCACGTGTTTTAAATGACCAAGTCAATATAATAAATAAAACTGTATATACTGGGGCAAGCAGGCAGCTTGGTGATTAAGGCAATGGATCCCACATGTCCAGCTTAGTGGTTTGAGTCCCAGACCCAGTGGTTTGAGAAACATGACGGGTATGTGTGCGTGTGTGCCCAAAATCCTGAGAGGAGAATGAAGGAGGAGGGAGTGTGGCATGGCCATCCCCCCAGGGGGTGATTTCTCATTTTTCCTCTTTCTGTCTCTCTTTGTGGCGAGGGCATGTGCCCTACTGCAAATATCCTTTTTTTGTTTCTTTTTTTGGAGAGATTTTTGCTATAGGGCGCATGAGCTCGCCAGAAAGACAGAGAGAGACAGAGAGATAGAAAGCGAGAAATCACCCCCCGGGGAGATGTCCATCCCACAATCCCTTCTCCTCTCGGGATCTTGGGCACGCACACACCTGTGCCCAGCTAAATTTAAGTCACCAGGTCCGGGACTTGAACCTTGGTCGATTACATGGGAGCCCAGTGCCATAGCCATTACGCTAACTGCTGGTCCCTGCAAAAATCGTTTTTTTTTTTTAAAAAAAAAAAAGAAAAAGAAGCAGTGATTTAGTTTATTGACTGAACAAAAAACATGTAAAAATATATGATCCAACCTGAGACAAGGAAACGGTTCTCTCCATGAGAGTCTTGGTCCGCTTAAAGCCGGGGTCACTTTCTGCAAGGACGTTCATAGTTTTCTTGCCGATGAATTCCAGAGCATCGAGACCTCCAGTTAAGACGCTTTTACCCTGCAGGGGAGAAGACCGCGTGAGTTCGGGATTTTACGTTTTGCTGTTTCTCGGCAGTCAGCCACGCCTAGGTAACTGGGGCTGTCTTCACGTATCGGGTGGTCGGAAAAGTCACAACGTATTTCTCTATGCAAGAATGGGTTAGGACTTTTCTGACGACCCAATATTAAAATCAATATAAAGTCATAATTTTTTCTCATCAGGACATTTCTCATCCATGTTCTCCTCCCTGGAAAGACCTATAGCATATAATTTGTAGGACATGCAGTGCTATTGAAAAATGATGCTTAGGGGGCCAGAAGGTGACATGGTGGTTAAAGTGCTGGATCCCACATAGCTGACTGGGTGGTTTGAGTCCTGGACCCAGTAGCTTGAAAATCACACCAGGCGGGTGTGTGTGCATGCCCAAAACCCCCAGGGGAGACTGAAAGAGAAGGGGTGAACCCCTAGGAGGTGATTGCTTTCATTCTTTCTCTCTTTCCATTGAACACACACAACTTATAGCAAAAAACTTTAGAAAAAAATGATGCTTAGGAAAAATCAAAGTACATTAGGGATTAATTTTCCTAGCTCTAAGTATGGATACATATATACTTAAAACAGAATTAAGAGGGGGCCAGCAGTTGGCATAATGGCTATGTCGTTGGACTCCCATGTAGTCAACCGTGGTTCGAATCCTGGACCCAGTGGCTTAAACTCATGCCAGGCGCATGTGTGTGTGTGCCCAAGATCCCGAGAGGAGAACGGAGGAGAAAGGACTGCAGTGTAGCCATCCCCCCTGGGGGGTGATTTCTCGCTTTCTGTCTCTCTGTCTCTCTGTGTTTCTGGTGAGTGCACACGCCCTATAGCAAAAACCTCTCAAAAAAAAAAAATAGAATTAAGAAGTGATCCAATTGCTTTTCTTTGAAAAAGTGTTAACCCAAGTATCAGAATTCTTTGGAGCAGTTTATTAAAATGTCATATACTCTTGGCAATTTAGGGACTTCTTTAATCTAGGGCCCTGGAGTGTAGGACCCTCAGGCTATTTCAGATGGCTCTTGCCTATTCTCAGAAACTAGCATTAAGCAGTTATTATTAGTACATTCATGAAATAAGACAGGTTGATTTCCATGTGCTTCTGGACCCAAAACCAGTATGTTATATAGTTATTCCCCTGCAGACCCTTTTAGTCATTGCTTTCCTTTAAAAGCAAAACAGAACTAAGACTTACATAAACTGTCCAGGTGGCTAGAACTGTGTCTATTTCTTCACTATCTCTTCTGCAAACATGGGGTGGTTGGAAAAGTCATGGCGCATTTTTCCCCATTTCTCTCTGTAAAACGCCTCATGGCTATGCCCCCTGGGAGATGATTTCTCACTTTCTATCTCTCTTTCTGGCAAGCACACATGCCCTATAGCAAAAACCTCTCCAAAAACATCTCATGAGGGATTACTCTATTAGAGAATAAATGGGGGAAGGAAAGAGACATAAGAAGTTTGAGTAAGGCCAAATAGGAGTGGGGTGGGGGTGGGGGATTTAGAACTTGGAAAAAGAACAGGACCAGCAGATGGCGTAATGGCTACGTCGCTGGACTCCCATGTAGTCGATAGTGGTTTGAGTCCCAGGTGAATTAAAACTCATGCAGGGCACGTGTGCATGCGTGCCCAAGATCCCAGGAGGAGAATGGAGGGATTCTGGCATGGCCATGCCCCCTGGGGAGTGATTTCTTGCTTTCTGTGTCTCCGTCTCACCAACAAGCACATGGGCCCTATAGCAAAAATCCCCCCACCCCACCCCACCCCAAACAAAAGAACTTGGAAAGAAAATCCAAGGTTGGAGAGAACGCAGAAAGGAGGGTGAGGGCTGGTGACAAACCTGGGAGTGGCTGGGCTTTGACTCTGGAAACCCATTTCCTGTTTCCTTCACCCGACCCAGTGGAGCCGAGGTCAGTAACAAGGAGGGGAGCACTCATTTTCTGTATTTCTGGCATGCTTTGGCCCCCAAATCTGAGAAATATGCCCTCAAATGTCTGCCCTGGGGCCTCTTCCTCTTTGTTACGTTTTATTTATCTGCGAGCTGCCTCTGCCTTCCAGGACACTAGGCCCTCCTGTCGGCCAGCACACACCTGGCAGGTAGCACAGCTCCTGGCCCACGGCGAGGACTGACCACCTTTTTTTTTTTTTAATGAATGAATAAACAGATCATAAACTGCATCTTTAGAAAAACTAGTTACCTGATTCTACTTGGTAGAAAATATACCTTTCCTTCTTGACCTCGAGGACCAGCCGGCTGCCTCACCTCAGTTGGGGTACTTTCCCCTTTTTTCATTGTTCCTCAGTGTACTGCTGCCCATAATAGGCAGGTGGGGTGCTGGATCCCACATGGCCGACCGTGCAGTTTAAGTATCGAATCCAGTGGCTTAAAAATCACACTGGATGTGTGTGCGTGTGTGCCCGAAATCCCAAAAAGAGAATGGAAATAAAGGGATTGTAGCATGGCCATCCCCTCTGGAAGGGGTGGGGGTTAATTTCTCACCTTCCTGCTCTATCTCTGTCTCTCTCTGATGAGCACACACGCCTTATAACAAAAACAAAACCAAAGCAAAACAAAAAAAGGAGGGAGGCAGGGGCTTGCGGGGATAAACTTTGGGGTGTGCAGGATGAGAGCAGGAACCAGGAGGCAGGGACAGGGGGAGGATGCTGATCTTCATTGTCTAGAAACATCTCATACACATACCTGGGCTGTTATTCCTGACTTAAAGTTGGTAGCTTTTTTTTTTTTTTTTTTTTTTTATTTAGACGGTTGTATAACTTTTCAACTTCAGGCTTAGGAGAAACAAACCATCTAGGAAGAGCAGCTGTCTCAGCGCTGAAAGATCGCTCTTTACCCCATCCAGGGGATGTCCTTGCAGCCGTGTTAAAGGACACAGCTAAATCACACGAAAGATTGCTCCTTCTAAACAGCTCCTTTCTTTTACACATAAGATGTATTTCATCTTGCCCTTATTATTTCGGATCCAAGGTTACTCCCACTCTGCAGCAGAAGGCATCACAGAACCATAATCCGAAGTTATGAGCAAAGCCATCTTTTCTGTGATGTATCTAGGTCACTGGTAAATAGAAATATCAAAGGAGGCCCTGGGAGAGACAGGATGAGAGAGGCAGCGGCTCACAACTCACTGTGTTCTGAACCACATTGCTGATGGCTGACAGCATGCCCCCGGAGCTCGGCGAAGGAGAAGTGGGTGGGCTCTTTGCGGGGCTCTGATCTGGGGCTGCATCTGTTCCTCAAAAGAAAAAAGAAAAATCCTTTTAGAGTTCATTTTACTGATCTGAACTTGGAAACCTTCTCATGGTGCACATGCTTGAATAAAGCCCAAGTCCAAAAACAGGGCTGAAATAAACACATCACTCACCTTCAGGGACTCCGTTTTCGGTATCGAGTTGGGGCCCTTCGGAGGCTCCAGAATTTACACTGTGAATCCGTAAGGTGGCCCCTGCTTTTTCTTTGACAGCTGTCAACCCATGACCTGTGGGGAAATAAAAGGACAGTTCATGACTATATGAGAAATCTACGGTCTGCACATCTAGCTATTTTTAAGTTGCATTGGGTTGTCCAAAGTCATGATGTTATTTTTTTCTGTTATTCTAAGCAAAAATCATCATGACTTTTCAACAATAGATGCACATCCTGATGGGAAGAAGGTGGTTTACGGTAGAGGCTCTGGGATCCGACAGAGGCGGGTTTCAATGAGAGCTCCGTGTCTGCTGGGCTGAGTGACTGTAGGGTGTCTTTTTGACTCCGTTTTCTCACTGAGTGGCACGAATGCGATAAGGGTATACAAAGTGCTCCCAGATGCCCCGTTACTTCCTTTTGCTTCTCACACCACCTAGAGCCCAGTCTAGGATTCCAACGTCAAGCTGTCATGGAAACACGTCTCCATCCTCTCTTTACTCCCGTAAGCTCCTTACAGCAGGGAGGCATCATGCATTTTCTGATTCCTTGCTGGCCCAGACCATTGCAAGTGCTTAATTAATATTAGTTGAATTGAGATCAGTTCAGCTTCAACCTGTTCCTTCCAAGTGTCAGTCATTCCTTTGGACACCGTGAGTGATGGGTCTGGAACGGAAGTCCCTGAATCAAAAGGCAAGTGACTGGGAAAAGCAGGAAGGCCACCCAACAGCTCTGATGGGACCTGACACAGTAACAGTCCAGCCTTAGCAGACCGACTGACTGCAGGACTGGCTTTGCTACATCTGAACAAGGACAAGATCTATGGTCTCCAGAGTCTGCACTGTGGGTATCTCAGTAGCTTTTAGTGACTGCAGAGCTGACCTTCCTGCCCACACTGAAACCAACCCTGACTTGATAGTTAAATAGTCTTATTTATATTTTATTCTAGAGAGACTTCCCCCTTCAAGGCCCCCATGATGAGCTATAGCTCTTGAGTTTCCAAACCCAATGAAGGAATTAATATCCTCCTGGAGGTCCCAAGTGGCTGTTTGCATTCTTGAAGGAGAAACAGCAGATGGGTTGATGTCATCTCTATTTGCCATTTCCCTTAGCACTCAGGGAGAAAATGAGAGATTTCTCCAGGGACCTGGGCCCCCTCAGGTTGTCAAAACACAACGCAGCAGCAATATTCATACGTAGGAAGGAACTCTCAAATCGCAGCAGGATTTCAGAGCTAAGAGGAGTCACCTGGGTTTAGAAGGCGCTGTTAAATGACCAGTTGCCCATCTCCTGAATAAAAGAAAGACTCGGAGGAATTCCAAACTCTGTCATTTTATCAACTGCAACCTTATTTATTAGAGCAACTTTTTTTTTGTTTTTTTTTTTGGAGAGGTTTTTACTATAGGGCACGTGCACTCGCCAGACAGAGACAGAGAGACAGAAAGCGAGAAATCACCCCCCAGGGGGGATGGCCACACTGCAATCCCTTCTCCTCCATTCTCCTCTCGGGATCTTGAGCACACACGCACACGCGCCCGGTGTGAGTTTAAGCCACCGGGTCTGGGACTCGAACCGCAGTCGGCTACGTGGGAGTCCGGCGACATAGTCATTACGCTAACTGCTGGTCCTTCTATTAGAGCAACTTTTGTTGTTGTTTTTTGGTTTTGTTTTACATTCAACATCTGCAAAGAATTGATTTGGAACCAGATTAAAAGAACATTGGACAATTGTGAAATATATGTTTATACTGATGCTTCTGTGGTTGTACAACGGACTCATGAGAAATGACTGGATTCATTTTACTTTATTTCTTCAGGGCAGGAGTTTATCGAAGACTTAAAATTTGGGATCTTCAATATCTGATTTACCATGCATTTGCTTAAGCTTTAAAAGCTCCTGTCTCCAGATCTTGCTGATATCAGCAGGTCCTCCAGATGTCTGTCATTTAGATTTGTATTCTCTAATCTTGTCCACAGAAAGTTTCCGTACAGATCAAGTTCCTGATTAAATGCCACTGCTGGGACCAGTAGATGGCACAGTGGTCATGTTGCTGGACTCATACACGGCCGACTGTGGTTCGAGTCCTGGACCCGGTGGCTTGAAAATCATACCGGGCATGTATGCATGCATGCCCAAGATCCCAGAGAACGGATTGCAGCAGGTCATCTCCGTGGGCGCTTGGGGGGCTGATTTCTCACTTTCCCTCTCACTGTCTCTGTCTCTCTCTGGCAAGTGAAGGCTCCCTATGGCAAAAACCTCTATTTAAAAAATACTAAAATAAAAAATAAATGCCACTGCTGTAGCACCAATGTCCCTCTGCAAATGGATGGAGACTGCTGGCCAAATGACGGAGAACCTGAAGCGCCTCTGAAGAATTATGATGAGTCTTGGTTACTTGCACTCGGTCCCAAGCGGCCACTGGAGCCACCACTGTTCTACCAGAGATCATTTTATAAAAGACTTTTGCCAGTGTGCATGTGCTCGGCAGAGAGAGAAAAGAGATGGAGGAGAGAGACAAAGCAGCCCAAAATGGAGCATGGCCATGCTGCAATCTCTTTCACCTTTCTCCATCCTGCTGGGATTTGGGACATGCACACACATGCATCTGGTGTGACCCCTATTTGAACCATGCGGTCAGTCATGTGAGATCCGGCTCTCTTAAATGCTAGGTCAGGTTGCTGGCCTATTAAAGCAATCTCAACATAAACAAGGCACTGATTTCAACTCTAGGAGTAATTATATCCAGTGGAGGTCATCTGTCATGGTACACTATCTAGAAAACCCCCAAACTTCAGAAACAGGATTTACATTATTTACAACTTTAATCACATAGAGAAATAGGTGTTGGCTTCATGGGCAGCTCGCTGGACACAACTCAAACTCATTATCGAGCTACTTGAAGAAATAAAGATGTGCTGTCAACTGCTAAAACTAAATTCGGCTTCATGTTCTCTCGCTTCCAAGCATTTCAATGGAAACTTCCTGAAGTTTCGAGAAACACATCTGAGGATTTAATCATTGAACACATTTGCATACTCGGTCCACATTACTTTCCATTTTTCAAAACACATATATTTCTAAAAGTCAATAATGTAATCTATGATTCTCATCCAGATTTCCGAAAGCCAAAATCAAGGAACAAATGAGTCTGAGGAGGCTGGGAGGGAGGCACCATCTGCTCTTTCTTCTTTGCTTAAGCCACACAAGAAAGATGATTCCACATCCTTTCCTGAAACCATTTCAGGGTTTAATGGACCTCACATTTTCTCTCTCTCTTTTTTTTTTTTTTTTGAGAGGTTTTTGCTATAGGGCGTGTGTACTCACCAGAGAGACAGACAGAGACAAAGAGACAGAAAGTGAGAAACCACCCCCTACGTTGATGGCCACACCGCAATCCCTTCTCCTTTATTCTCCTTTCGGGATCTTAGGCACTCACGCGCATGCACCTGGCGTGAGTTTAAGCCACCGGGTCCAGGACTCGAACAGCGGTCAACTATATGGGAGTCTGGTGACATAGCCATTACGCTAACTACTGGTCCCACATTTTCTCTCTTTTACCTTCTCCCCCTCTTGTAGATTAGGACCCTATCTGGACTTTTTGCGGGGAAAGGCCACTTGTCACCATCTCAGAACACAAATGATGATGAATATGTATGCATACGCTACCTGTAGAAAAATCTGTTTCTGGAAGGAAATATCCTTTTTGTATACATATAGATGGGAGGTGTCTATTCAACAGAGATGACAAAAGGCTGTCTATTTGGATTAAAAGTCCTTTTTCTAAACTTTCTGTTAGCAGAAGTGTATGTTTACTGCATTCTACTAGAAATACAAGATTAAGCTTTCTATGTATGTATAAACTGTAATTTTCCATGTTTAGACATTATGCCCACACCCTACTTAGAAGAGAAACTTTAAAAACTTTTCTTAGTGTGACATCTAGTGCCCAGACCAAGGAAATAATAATAGAGAGTCACTGTCACCTTTCGATTGGGAGTGATTCATTTCTAGAGATACTGATCGGGTTCTGTCAGTAAGAAGAAAACAACAAGTATGAATAATACTATAAGATGTAAGTTATGAATGAATTTTTTCACATCATCATGAACCTTAAGTATCCTCAAAAAAATGAAACTCATTTAATTCCATGAGATAGACTATCTGATCTGTTTTTTGCAGTAAGAGAAGGCGAGTACTATGAAGAAGGAATAGAATGTTGTATAAATGTTGTGACACTACATTGCTTTATTTTCTATTTTTAAATATTTATTTAGCTAGTTTTGTGCTAGAGGGCACATAGTTCGATGGAGACACACAGAGAGATGGAGAGGAGAAAGCACCCCACATGGGGAATGGTCGTGACTCAATACCTTCTCCTCCATCTCTCCTTCCTTTCAGGATTTTGGGAATGCACGCACACAAACTCTGTGTGTTTCTCAAGCCACCATGTATGGGCCTTGAACTACGCAGTCGGCTATGTGGCATCTTAACCACCAGGCCGTGAAGCTAGCCCAACACTGTATCATCTTAAAACAAATGTTAAATGATGAGCTGGGTTTAATCTATTACCTATGTTCCAATGGAAAGTACTCTAAACTTAGAAGTCAAGAGTTTTGTAGAGAAATTCTGGTTCTATCATTCATTAGCTGTGTGACGTTGGTGAACTACTTAAACTCTCTTGAGTCTCTGCTGCTCAGAGAAGACATTCTCTGAAAGGAGGGTTATAACCCTAACTTTGAGGGTTTTGTGAGATCACTGAAGAGAATCGTGTGAAAACTCCACCATAGCCAACATTTACCGAGCACTTACTATGTCCCAGGCACTATACTAAATATCTTGAGTAAATTACCTCATTTAATCTATTCAAGAACCTTAAGAGGGAAGGAATATTTTGGAGTCCCTTGGACATTCATGATGTACAGCTGCCATTGCCTACAGAACTCTTCATCTGGTAAAACTGGAGCTCTATCTCCATTAAACTATAACTCCCCATTCCATCCTACTACCTGCCCTGGCAACCATCACTCTATTTTCTGTCTCTGATTCTGACTACTCTAAATATTTCATATAAGCAGT